CTGTACTAACTGGACTGGTGCTCTCCAGAACCAGGGTCAGAGACCCCTGTACTAACTGGACTGGCACTCTCCAGAACCAGGGTCAGAGACCCCTGTACTGACTCTACCGGTACTCACCAGAACCAGGGTCAGAGACCCCTGTACTAACTGGACCGGCACTCTCCTCAATAAGGGTTGGAGATCCAGGACCAGACTAATCTAACCCTCCTGCTTCAGCTACTGCCAATTTAAAGAGAGGATTAGAGGTGGCATGCCCCAGACTAAGTTTTAAATCACAACCATACAAAAACTAAGCTGTTGATCCACTGAGTTACGAGCAGGAGAATTTAACCACTTTCTATGTGTTTATTTTGTTGCTGTTGCTCTTTCCTGAGTGATCTGAGCGAGTTCTCACTCTTTCGGGCAACATCAGGACCAGTTCTACCTCGAGAATAACTGGGGCAATACCTTTTGCTTGATTTAAACTGTAATCGTCATTTTCTGTTCCCCACAAAGTTCTGTTCATTACTTCTGTGCCATAGGCAGACACCTAAAATAAATGAGTCACTTTCTCCGTGTACACGACAGGTTACAAGCGTCATTTAATATTTGAATGAGGTTATCAGCGTGATCAGCGATCTGTACTGGGAACCAAATCCTAGAGACTTCCTTGGTTTCACAAACGCTCACGAATTATTAATCTAATTAAATGTCAAGGTCACCCAGTCCCAGGAACTCTAGAGCCCAGCTGCAATAGTGTTAAACAAAGGGGTGTTTGCTTAGGAACTTTTCCAGAAGGCCAAGAAGCTGTAGGTGTTGACTTTTCAGCAGGTGAGCGGTTTCCTTACCAGACCGAACCAATGATCCCAGCCAGGAGGCACATGATCAATTCCACCAGCCTCGGAGTTTCCGTACTGGAACACCATCAAAGACACAGAGCAGGGAGTCAGAAGACATAAGAGCTCCAATCCCAGTAAACACAAAAACTACAAGTCCCTGCAACTCAAAAGTCGCAGTTGGGCATTTTTAATTCATTGCTTGATGATGTATCTATTGCCAAAGGCTGTATGAAAGAATAGAGATGCTTAATTGTAGTCCAAACCACCAAATCTACCATTATTAAGAACTGTGACATCAGAACAGCAAAACTAACTTCAAAACAGTGCTTTTGAATGACCACAGCTGAAGTAGGATCTAGGTTATAAATTTGACATATAACTACAATAACAACGCAGTAGGTATTTCAGTCTAGAGACTGAGGCCAGCAAGAATCCATCAGTACAGAACCTGTTTTTCTTTTTTAGGTGCCACTAATTCAGAATGCTATAAAGGTAAAATACAGTCTGGTGGATTAAGAGATGTAAAAATCCACTCTATCCATATTTTAAATTATTAATTGGTAATAATACATTAGTTATAATACAGTCAATGCAGTAATTAATAAATATTACAATATAGTGATAGTATAATGATAAAAATTACATTTCTAGTAGTAAATTGCACTATAAAGGTACCATGTTCCACTCTTTATTGCAGAAATAAGGGAAGAGCTTATCCTATCAGTACAATTAAGGAATGGTGTTTAATACATTGAGATACTGGAGGTGTTCAATCAGTGATTCTGAACCCGGGTGGTGGAGGAAGACTTTCCTCTTGAGTTTTGCTCCAGCTAAGCTCTTCTGAATCACAAGCAAACTGATTTTCAGTTTTCTGTTTGTATGGGATATATTTGTAAATTTGCTTCCAGCTTTTAGTCTAAAGGGATGTGTAGTTGATACCAACCTAGCATGGACTTCAGAAGTGTTATCGTTTCATTACATCATTGAGATGTAGCCAATTGGACCTCTGCAGAAGGAAGAAACACTCACATGGGAGTCTGGTAGTGTCGCTCCTGAAGGGGGCGTGTCTGATACAGTGTCACTCCCACAGTGAGCGTGGTTTGTACAGTGTGACTCCCACAGTGGGTGTGGTTGGTACAGTGTCAGAGTCACTCCCTCTGGGGGTGTGCCCGATACGGCGTCACTCCCACTGTGCATGTCTCTAATGTAGTGCCCCTCCCACTGGGGGCGTGTCAGACAAAAAGGTCACTCCCACCTGTGTCTGTAAATCATCAATTGATCAACTAGTGAGAGCTGTTTAGCCAGAACAAACAAGCAGTGGAGAGGCTGCTGGAGGTGCTGTGCACTGAAGCTGTTGGAAGCAGTCTCCTCAGAGCCACTAATATCCGAGAGTCAGCACTGACAGAAGAAACATGCTCAATAAAAGCAATCAATCAGCGCTGGAGATTAGCAGAGCTGAAAAACCAGCAGATCCAGGGCTGGGTTCAGGAGCCCCTCTGTCCTAGCGATCTCATGAAGTTAAGATGGCGGGATTTCTGGGAATTCTCTGAAAGAGAGAGCGGTGAGCCTGTTGCTGAACAAACGGGAGCTCAGATGGAGACCCTGTGGCCACCAAGGCACAGAGCTGACTGTCCTTGTCCTAGCAGAGGGGCGACAGATACCTCGTTCAGATACTTCCCTGCGAAGAAGGTCTGGTACTGGGCGTGTCGGCTGAGCAGTGCTGGGAAGGTGTTTGGCTCGTGCCTCTTCTGCCAGGCTGGGCTGCTGCAGTTCCCCTCCAGGGTGTTGTTAACCACCATGTGGTTGTGAGGATACTTCCCCGTCAGGATGCTGGCTCTGCTGGGGCAGCACAGGGGACTGGCTACATACTGGGAAGGACAGAGACGTCTCTTGAGGCCGAGATTTCAGG